AGATTACTTAAAAAATAAGATCTTTTTTTTTTTTTTCCAAATATTTATTTAAATTCTAGGGGCGCCTGGTTAGCTCAGCCGGTTGAGCATCCAACTTCGGCTTAGGTCATGATCTCACGGCTCGTGGGTTCCAGCCCCGCATCAGGCTCTGTGCTGACAGCTCAGAGCCTGAAGCCTGCTTCCGATTCTGTGTCTCCCTCTCTCTCTCTGCCCCTCCCCTGTTCACATTGTCTCTCTCTGTCTCTAAGAAATAAATAAAACCAAAAAAAATTTTGTAAATAATAAAATAAAAAAATAAATTCTAGTTAGTTAACATACAGTGTAATTGGCTTCAGGAGTAGAATTTAGTGATATGGAACACCTGACGTTCATCATAAAAAACTTTTTAAAAAAGCTGTAAAGGTGTCCTGAGACCACAGTTTTGAGAGCCGTTGCCCCTCGGGTACATCCAGTTGCTAAATTGCTGGGTCCTGGGCTGTGCACGTCTCCAGCGTGTCTAGGTGGGGTGTTTTCCATTCCCACCAGTCATGTGGAAGTTCCAGTGCTCCACATCCTTGCCAACACCAGCTCAAGTTCACTTCTCTGAGCTGACTGAGCATGTAGTCGTGTCTTCTTGTAATTTTGCTTTGCGTTTCCCTTAATCACAAGGAAGCTGACTATGGGCCCTTTGGATCTGTCCTTTGGTGACATGGCAATCACATCTCTTTACCCAGTCTTCTCTGTTGAATTGTCTCCCTTTCTGCTGGTGGTTTGTAGCCAGTCACTTCTACAGCAAGACTCATTACAGTGTGTATTCTGGGTGCATCTGGCTCTTGTCAGCTTATGTTTGTGAGGTTTGCACATGTCTTTGGAATTGGCATGAATATCCAGTCTGCTGCAGACAGATATTTAGATCATCCCACTTTTTAGTTATGTGACCAGTGATGCTATGAATATATTCTTGTGTTTGGTATCATGCTGATGAACACACATTCTTACTTTTAACATAGTCGCTTATATCAGCATTGTCCTTTAGGAGTGGTTCTGTTTACTATTTAAGACGTCTTTCCCTCCACCAAGATAGTAAAGATAACCCTTCCACGGAGCCTCTAAAAGCTTTATAGTTTGTCTTTTGTACTTAGGTATACGCCATCCGGAAATAGTCATGACATCTCACAGAGCAATCATCCAACTTTTGTTTTTTTTTTTTTAGGGACATAGGAAAGTGTCTTCAAAGGCACCTTGGCTATTGTTCTTTCGCACATTCTGTATACACATTACATTCTGTCTGTCAAGTTACATCAAAACAAACCAACAGAAAACTTGTTGGGATTTTATTGGTTTTTGTATTGATTCTTTAGATCAGTTTGGGGAGAGGGGCGCCTGGGTGGCTCAGTCAGTTGAGCGTTTGACTCTCGATTTCAGCTCAGGTCATGATCTCATGGTTTGTGAGATCGAGTCCCAAGTGGCTCTGCACTGTCAGTGCCACTGGGATTCTCTGCCCCTCCCCTGTTCATACACATGTACTTTCTCTTTCTCTCAAAATAAAAAAATTTATATAAATTTGGGGAGAATATGCCTCTTAACAAAATTGAGCCTTCCAACCCATGAGCATCATATATCTGTTTCCCTTTTTTTAGGTGTTCAGTAATATGTCTTCATAAGCTTTTATTTAAAAAAAATAAAAAAAAAAAAGATCTTACTTTTAAGTAATCTCTACACCCAACACAGGGCTCGAGCTTACAACCCTGAGATCAAGAGTTGTACCCTCCACCGACTAAGTCAGCCAAGCAACCCTCCATAAGCTTTTATAATTTTCTCCATAAAGATCGTACTTTTTTCCCAGCTTACTTCTAGGTGCCTCCTGTTTTTTATGCTATTGAAAAGGGTGTCTCTGTTAGTACATTTTCTGTTTGCTGGTATTAGATAATAATAAAATTGATTTTTTTAAAAACATTTATTTATTTTGAAAGACAGCATGTGAACAGGGGAGGGGCAGAGAGCGAGAGGAAGAGAGAGAGAATCCCAAGCAGGCTCCACACTGTCAGTGTAGAGCCCAACTCGGGGCTCAGTCCCACAGACCACAAGATCATGACCTGAGCCAAAACCAAGAGTTGGTCACTTAACCATCTGAGCCACCCAGGCGCCCCCATACAATTGATTTTTAAACACTGACTCAGTGTCCAGCAATCTTGCTAAAACTCTCTTACTGATTTAAATAATTTATCTGTGCTGTCTTTTGGATTTGCTGAATGCACAGTCGTATCATCTAAGATAAGATAGTTTTGCTTCTTTTTCTCCCGCCCTTATTTTATTTCATTTTCTTTTCTTACTTTACGCTGACTTCTGGTGTGATGTAGATTAGAAATGTAGTGATGGGGGTTGGGGATGGACATCCTTGTTCTCGATCTCCATTTCCCCAACAAAGTGTGACATTTGCAGAAGGCATTTTGCAGCGACCCTCGACCCTCGTCAGATTAAGGAAGTTCCCGTCTATGTATCGTTGACCTGAATGGCATTGGTTTTTATCAGATGTTTTTTCCACATCCATTGAGATTATCCTGGTTTTTCCTGTTTAATCTTTAATCTTCTAAAATGTGCTAAATACATTAATTCATTTTCTGATGGTAAACCTAATTTGAGTTGATCAGAGAAGTCCAACAGGGTCTTGCTTTCGGTATATCGCTGGATTCTGTTCACTAATACTTCGTTTAGGATTTTTGCATTTGTGTTCAGAAACAAGGCTGGCTTCTGACTTTTCTTTCTCCTGAGACCCATGTGAGGCTTTGCATCTTGAAGTGAGGTGGGTGCGTTCTCCCTTTTTCTATTCTCAGGGCATCTTTATGTAAGATCGGATTGTCCTCTTGAAAGTTCCATGGAAGCCATCTGTAACACCATCTGGGCTTTGAGTTTGTGTTTAAGGAAAGATCTTCCACTACCACCAATTCACCTCCTTTAATGGTTATACAGCTCTTTCCATTTTCTGTCTTTTTCAGATAGTGCTGTATTTTTCGAGAAATTTTTCTGTTTCATCTACATCCTCAAATAACTTTCTTTTAACTTATGCAACACAGATGGTGATGCCTCCTCATCATCCTTGATAATGGTCATTCGTGCTTTCTGTCTCATCTTCAGGATGGGTTTCACCGCAGATTTGTCAGTTTTATTAGCTTCTCCCAGAGAGCCCGCTTTGGCTTTCTTGCTTCTTTGTTTCTTCTTCTTTTTCTATGTTTGTTTTGCTTCATGGATCTCCTGTTTTATTATTTCCTTCTTTCTCTCATATTTTTTGCTGTTTCTTTTTAACTTCTGGATATAGGCTTCTAGGTCATTAATTTATTTTCTGTTTTACTCATGTTAACATTACCCTCCAAGTGTTACTTTATGTGCACTCGAGCGTGTATAAATAGTATTTTCACGGGGCGCCTGGGTGGCTTAGTCGGTTAAGCGTCCGACTTTCGCTTGGGTCATGATCTCACGGTTCACGGGTTCGAGCCCCGTGTCAGGCTCTGTGCTGACTGCCAGCTCAGAGCCTGGAGCCTGTTTCAGTCTGTGACTCCCTCTCTCTCTGACCCTCCCCTGCTCGCGCTGTCTCTCTCTCTCTCTCTCCTAGAAATAAATAAAACATTAAAAAATAAATAAATAAATAAATAAAAATAAATAGTATTTTCACGAGTTACTCGTATTCAGAGTATTTTTTTAATATCTGATAGGCTCTTCTTAGCTAAGTAGGTGATTCAAAGTGTGTTTCTTAAAATACAAGGTTTTATATGGATTTCTAGATTGTGGTCAATCTGCTATATGTAGAATTTCAGTTCTTCAAAATGCACGAAAATTAGTAAAAACAAAGTGACCACCGTACAGTTTTGCAGTCTGCCTTTTATACTTAGTAACTCTGGTACTTTGGAGTTTATTTTTAATTGTTTGGTTTACTGCCAAGCTTAAATGGAAGTAACTTTGCCTGGAAATCAAAATAACTCTAAGGGATGCCTGGCTGGTTGATTTGGTAGAGCACATGACTCGTGATGTTGGGGTCGTGAGTTTGAGCCCCATGTTCGGTGTGGAGCCTACTTAAAAATAAAATATTTTTTTAAAAAATGACTTTTTAAATCTGCCAGCATAGGGGCGCCTGGGTGGCTCCGTCAGTTAAGCGTCCGACTTTGGCTCAGGTCATGATCCCACGGGTCATGGGTTCAAGCCTCACATCAGGCTCTGCTGACAGCCAGAGCCTGGAGCCTGCTTCAGATTCTGTGTCTCCCTCCCTCTCTACCCCTCTCCTGCTCACACTGTCTCTCTCTCTCTCTCTCTCTCTCAGATATAAGTAAAAACATTTTAAAAAATCTGCCAGCATAAAATCTTATACAGGGGCCCCTGGGTGACTCAGTTGGGTGAGCCCCCAGCTCTTGATTTCAGCTCAGGTCATGATCTCACAGTTCATGAGTCCAAGCCTCACATCAGGCTCTGTGCTGACATCATGCAACCTGCCTGGGCTTCTCTCTCTCCCTGCCCCTTCACCACTGTGCACCTGCATGTGCTCACTCTCCCTCTCCCCACCCATAAATAAATAAATAAACAAACAAACATTTTAAAAAAAAACATATGCAGAAACTCTGCGTGGAAAGAGCACTTGATTTTCCTTTGACTTGACTTAGCCCCGTCGTTGCTTCCAGCCCCACACCATTGAGACAGATCACCACTTGTTCATTTGCTCCCACAGATCTGTCTTCTTTATTGTATTACTCTAGTCAGGGTTGGCCACATTTTTCTTTCAGTTCTATTTTTTTATATATAATTTTTTTCTTGAGGATCATGTACACCCCATGTTACATCAGCTTCAGGTGTACAAGGTAGTGACCCAGCTCCTCTGTATGCTGTGCTCACCGCCTGTGTGGCCGCCATCTGCTGTCACTTTGCTATGCTATTAGAGTTTCACGATCAGCCACGTGTTTTTTAAGCTTCTAAGTAAAGCCCTTTTGCAGTGAGGAAAGTGACTAAAAATCCACCGTTTGTTGGTTTTTCTGCAGGCCCGAGGTATGAAGAAACAGGTCATTGATGACTTCATCACCCAAAACAAGTATCTGCTGGCAGCCAGGCTCACCAGCCAGAAGCTCTTCCACGAGTTGTGCCCTGTGAAACGGTCTCACCGACAGAGGAAGTAAGAACTCAAGGCTTTGTCCCTGTCTGTCACTGCGATAGAGAGGCCACGGCCCATTATTCTACTGGGCAATTAAAACACCTACCTATGGGGCGCCTGGGTGGCTTAGTCGGTTGAGCGTCCGACTTTCGCTTAGGTCATGATCTCGCGGTTCGTGGGTTCGAGCCCCGCGTCAGGCTCTGTGCTGACTGCCAGCTCAGAGCCTGGAGCCTGTTTCAGATTCTGTGGCTCCCTCTCTCTCTGATCCTCCCCTGCTCACACTGTCTCTCTCTCTCTCTCTCTCTCTCTCCTAGAAATAAATAAAAATTAAAAAAAACAAAAAACAAAAAAAAAAAACACCTACCCGTGACCATCAGAACTCACTCTGTGTATAACAGATACTGAGCCCCCACTATGGGCTGTGTGAATGCAGGGTGCCAGCCTGGGCCAGGGGTCAGAGAAGGTCTCCCTCATTCATAATCCTTTGGCGGAGGCCAGAAGGATGAATAGACTTGGGCCAGTTGTCAGGGAGAGTCTGGGTCCTTTTAAAGAAGCATGGATACGAGAGGAGCCACTGCTCTGCATGAACATCCCACATGGCGGGGGGGGGAGGGGGGCGGGAGGGCTGGGACAGCAACTAACCCCAGGGAAGAGTAGGACACTGAGGAAATGGTCAGATAATTAGCTGGGAGTGGGAAGGCTGAGGCTCACTTGTTCGTACAGGGTATCCAGAAAGTCTGGAAATACAGGGAAAATGTTTATTTAAAATAGACATCTCTCAGATTAATGGATCAGTGGCTTTAAACGTAGGGCTAGTTCACTGCAAAACGTGTCTAGATACGAAAGGAAAACGTACTGCTCATCTTATTTGAAAATATAACCAAAATATGATTTAAAGTGAGAAAATGTCCTGGTTTCCAGATTTGTCTGATTCCTTTGTAACATTAAGAGAGAAGAAAGACTTTAGTTCGATATAAAGAAGTGTATCCTGGACCCTAAGCATCATTGTGTACGTAGCCCTCAAAAAATATCCCAGATCCACGCACTTCTCCCCTTTCTCGCCACTGCCGCCCCAGAGCAGGCCACCGGCACCTGTCGAGACCCTGCTAGCCTTCTAGCCAATCTCTGCTTCCGTACCCTTCCTGTGCCTTCCAGAAGGCTCTCACACCCCAGCCGTGATCTCCCTGGGACTGGGCATTGGGCCCAGTTCTCTCTCCACCAAGGGGTCTTTGTCCTGCGCTCCTTTCTGCCTCGGATGCTCTGACCCCTTTCATTCAGGCCTCTGCTCACCTCCAGGAGGCGACGTGTCCCTGAGCAATCTGTCTAAGGGAGTGAGACTCCCACCCCACCCCGGACACTCTCCATCCTTCTCTTCTTCTTTTTCGTAACACTTGTTACTGCTTGTCACGACGTAGCTGTGTGTGTGTGGTCCGTCTTCCCACCGTACTCTGAGCTCCTCAAGGGCAAGAACATGGTCTATCTTAGCTGGCAGACAGTAATCGCTTCCTAAATATTTGGGAGAATGAATGAATGATTAGCTAAACTTGCCATTAGAATGATTGCAAAGGAAGCCCTTCAGAATGAGGCTCAGAGAGCCCCTGGCCCAAGATAGATTGGAACAGCCCTGCCTATGGCAGAAGAGAACCAAACAAGTGACTTCTGAAAGCCCTTCTGCATCAAGGACTGAGAGGCCATTGCCTTAAAAGAAATTCCTGGGCACCTGGGAAGTCCAGGCGGTTGAGCAGCTGACTTCGGCTCAGGTTGTGATCTCATGGTTGGAGAGTTCAAGCCCCACATCTGGCTCTCTGCTCTCAGCACAGAGCCCGCTCCGGATCCCCGGCCCGCCTTGCTCTCTGATCCCCCCCCACCCTCCCACCCCCGCCGCTTCCCTGGTTGCGCGCACTCACGCGCGCTCTCTCTCTCTCTCTCTCAAAAATAAATAAACACACTTAGAAATTCCTAAGTGTGGTAGAGTTTGGTTTGGGGAAGACCTCACCAGTCTGGAAAAAAATAGGTCATTGATGACTTGAAATCCCTCACTGGAGACTTGTAACACACAGCTTTCGTCAGTCAAACATATTCTCATCTATAAGGTGGGCCCCTGCTCCTCGCCACCTTCACCTGCCGTTACAGATTGTAGCCCGGCCTCAGAGACTGATTTGTAAAGCCTTCTCTTTTGTTGTGGTGCAGGTACTGTGTGGTCTTACTGACCCCCGAGGCTACCAAGTTGAGTAAACCCTTTGAGGCTTTCCTGTCCTTTGCGCTGGCGAACACGCAGGACACAGTGAGATTCGTGCACGTCCACAGCCATCGGCAGCAGGAGTTTGCCGACACCTTACTACCAGACAGTGAGACGTTTCAAGGAAAATCAGCGGTGAGTCGTGGATTCTCTTCTGACTCTGAGCTCTTGACAAGCTCATGGCCCCTGATGCTATTTCCTCCTTCTCTGGGTGTTTTGAATACAGATTCCAGGAAATTCAGACATCTCTGAGCCTGTTTTGAAAGCCTGCTCTTAAAACAGTCTTTGACCCTAGGGATTTTACCTCCTAGATTTTCAGCCTTAGACCTTCACAGAAAGCATCTTTCCTATGAGTAGAGGTTCAAGAGTGCAGTTCTTTTCACCAGTTTTCTCGCCATGGTGAGTCTAGTCTCAGAGTACCTACTTTGAAAATCTTGCTTAGGCTACCAGTGAAAGGCTTTCAAAATTTCTCCCTCCTTTACATCTGCCTCCTTTCACTCCATTTTAATTGATCTCTCCTTCCTGTCCCCTCCTTTGTCATCACTCTACAGAAGCATTAAATTTTCTGTGTCCATGTCATCATTTTGGTAATCGTGGAAAATCTCTCTAAAAAACACAGGTTTCTTTTTTTTTTTTTATGTTTTATTTATTTTTGAGAGCAAGAGAGATGGAACATGAGGCGGGCGGGGAGGGGGGGCGGGGGGTGCTGGGAGAGTGGAGGAGACACAGAATCCGAAGCAGGCTGCAGGCCCTGAGCTGTCACCAGAGAGCCTGATGTGGGGCTCAAACTCACAGAGTGCAAGATCATGACCTGAGCCAAAATCAGACTCTTAACCACCTGAGCCACCCAGGCGCCCCAGAGGTTTCTTTATTAAGTCAGAGGGTATAGAAAAAAGTCTACTCAGAAAAAAGAGCTTTAACTTTTAGCAAAAGCTGTGCAAAGTCACCACAGTCTCTTCTTTACCAGAAAAATGTGAATCTCTTGCACGTATTTTCTTTTTTTTTTAATGTTTATTTTAGAGCGAGAGAGACAGAGTGTGAACGGGGGGGGGGGGGGGGCAGAGAGAGAGGGAGACACAGAATCGGAAACAGGCTCCAGGCTCTGAGCTGTCGGCACAGAGCCCGACGCGGGGCTGGAACTTATGAACCGCGAGATCATGACCTGAGCTGAAGTCGGACACCCAACCAACTGAGCCCCCCGGGCGCCCCTTCTTGCACATATTCTCTAGCCATCCGTATTGGTGTTCCAGCGTAGTGCGGACCCGCCGGGTCCTTTTTCCATCCTCCCTGAAAAAGACCAAACAGCAGCTTCCCATTCTTTTGCAAAGACTTCTGAGGGCTTCCTCTCTCTTCCCACCAGGTGTCGATCTTGGAAAGGCGCACCACGGGAGGAAGGGTGGTGTACAGGACCCTGGAAGCTCCCTGGACGGGGAGTGACAGCGATAAATTCACCCTCCTGGGCTATCTCGACCAGCTGCGCAGAGACCCCGCTCTCCTGTCCTCGGAGGCGGTGCTCCCCGACCTGACCGATGAACTGGCGCCTGTAAGCACGTGGCCAGGAGGGGCGGGGGGCGCCGGGCGGGCCTCGCGAGGAGCCCGAGTGGAGGCTGGCAGCACGCTGTCGCGGGCGAGGACTTCTCCGTCCCGGGTTCGGGGGGGGGGGGGGGGCCCGTCCTGACCGACGCGCGTTTCCTCTCCCAACAGATCTTTCTCCTCCGGTGGCTCTACTCCGCTTCCGACTACGTCTCGGACTGTTGGGACAGCGTATTTCACGACAACTGGTGGGAACACTGTTAGATTGACTCTCTCGCTCCAGTGCTAGTAGCACCAGTGTTTTCCTCTTGAAAACTCGGTCCTCCTTTGATTTCAGTGCACGCTCGATACGGGCAAGCGGAAGAACGCATACACGTTTCCCCACCTGTTCCCATTTCCGCTCTGGCAGTCACTTCCCTTTTCACGTGTTTGCGGACTGGCCCTCTCGCACTGGCCGGGTGAGAAAGGACCCCCCGGGGCCGCCCTCGCAAACCGCGGAGCCTGGGCCCGTCCTCCTCATCGAGGCGCCCCTGGTGCCCCCATGGCCTGCGTAGGGGCCAGCGTGGACACGTGCAAACCCGTCAGTGAGGTAACCAGAGAAGGGAGGCATAGCCCACTCCCGCCGCCCGGAGCACTGTGAGCTCCTGAAGGGCAGAGCCTCACCTCCTTCCTGTTTGTGACCCCCGGCGCCCAGCACAGCTGCTGACGGGTGGCGGGTCTTGGAGGGGTGCTGGCGGCTGATTAAAATCTCAGAGCACCGGTCCTGGAGGGAATCGTGCAAGGTCAGCTTTTCCTCCTGCTGCCCCCGCTTTGGGCCGCGTCTCAATTCCTCCAGCCAGGGAAAAACCATCCAGATAAAGGGAATAATCCCACAGACTTTAGTCACCGGTGCCACCCTTGACATCAGAGTGCTCGTCCACGTGCACCGCGTAAATCCTGCCACTTCCTCCCACAGGACTTAGTAAGCAGGACCTATTACGTTGAGACAAAATATCAAAATTGTGTGGCTTTTAAAAATTTTTTTTAAGTTTATTTATTTTGAGAGAGAGAGAGAGAGCATGAGCAGGGGAGGGAGAGAGAGGAAGAGAGAATCCCCAGCAGGCTGTACGCTGTCATCACAGAGCCTGACATGGGGCTCGAACTCACAAACCATGCGATCATGACCTGAGCCGAAATCAAGAGCTGGACGCTTAACCGACTGAGCCCCCCAGGCGCCCCGTAATATCAGGCTTTCAGAGTAAGCAGTCTGAATTAAAATGGTGAGGGGGAAATCTCCGCTTTCCCCACCGCCACCCCTACCCTCAAAAGAAATCTCTATTTGTATGAAACTAGAAAGTGTTTATTGATACGAAAGCTTTTTGGTTTGGGGTGGGTTTTTTTTTGGTTTTGTTTGAGCCGGAGAGAAGACACCTCGTATCATGAGCCGAGGTTACAGCAACACGCCCAGAGCTGACCAGAGCTTGTTCCCTTCGTTCTAGGCGGGAAATGATGCCCCTTCTGTCCCTGGTCTTCTCTGCCCTCTTCATCCTCTTCGGCACTGTCATCGTTCAGGCTTTCAGGTAAATGCCTCCGTGGCTTCTCAGTAGGACTTCCCAAGGGGGCGCCCACACCTCAGGGTTGTTTGAACTGTTTCCTCTGTAAACTCCTTGTTTCTTTTCTTTTCTTTTTTTTTTTTTAATGTTTGTTTATTTTTGAGAGGGAGAAACCGAGCATGAAGGGGGGAGGGGCAGAGAGAGAAGGCGACACAGAATCTGAAACAGGCTCCAGGCTCCGAGCTGTCAGCACAGAGCCCGACGCGGGGCTCGAACTCATGAACCGTGAGATCATGATCTGAGCCAAAGTCGGACGCTTCACCGACTGAGCCCCCTGAGCGCCCCCCAAACTCCTTGTTTCTCACTTTAGTGACTCGAACGATGAGCGAGAGTCGAACCCTCCAGATAAAGAAGAAGTCCACGAGAAGGCCGGGAAGACTGAGCCAAGCTTCACCAAAGAAAACAGCAGGTAGGTCTCTCTAACAGGACCCCAGACCCACCCCCACCCCCCAACCCCCACCCCAGCAGGAGAGCCCCGGGCGGGGGTCCTGGCAGAGCAGTGCTCCAGTACCAGTCTGTACACGCGCTCGGGTCCACCTCCTCGTGCGTGAGATGGGAGTTTAGGGGCAAGTCAGCCGCTGCCTGGTGGTCACTGAGACCCCGTCAGCCTTTAGACCCAGGACCTGCTTACCTTCTACTCAGTCCCTGCAGGCTCTCGATCTCAAACTTAATAATGGGGGCAGGAAGCAAAGCATGTCAGCCGCGAGACGAGCCAGGAGCAGAGACGAGGGCGTCACCGTAACTGTGTCGACCTCTTTCATCCAGTCCTAAAGCCACTTCTGCACCAGCTGAACGGCAGCGTCTGAAAGGCTCTGGGCAGGCGCAGGACCACCAAGGAGGGACCGGCCCCGTCCGGCCCAGTGTGCCAGGCTCCAGGAGGTTAAATATGCTATCCAGGCTGGTTGGAACAGAGGGTTTCCTTCCTCTTGTTCCTTTTCAAAGTAACGGCGTCCCCCTGTCCTGATAACCTCTCAATTCCTCACTATTTCCCCACAGCAAGATTCCCAAAAAGGGCTTTGTGGAGGTGACGGAACTCACAGACGTGACATACACCAGCAACCTGGTCCGCCTGAGGCCCGGCCACATGAACGTGGTCCTCATTCTGTCAGGCCCCACGAAGACCAGCCTGCTGCAGAAGTTCGCGTTGGAGGTCTACACGTTCACTGGGTGAGCCCGCGGGGCCAGGGGGTCGTTCTGCTGAGGAGGGAGCTGGAGGACATTCCTCTCTGACCATGAGGGGCCCTGTGCGTGCAGCCAGATGTTGGCTGTGACCTGTCCAGCCCGGAAACATGAGGCATCGCGAGGGGACCCTTCTCCCGCTGAATCCATGTCCCGATGCTTCTGCACAGAAGAGCCCGACCCCAGGCTTCCTCCCTGAGCCCTTCAGGGAGCCCTAGCCCGTCACTCTCGTGTGTCTTCCCGAAGCCGGACACCGGGCGAGACAGGGAGATGGGCGAGCAGAGCGCGGCCCCTGTTGAAGCAGCCCTGGGGTCCCCGGGACCCCTCCGTTCTGTCCGTGCTCGGGCCCCGCCCAGCGCGGAGCCTCCTCCCGTGATTTGAAATCTGGCCGAGGCACGTGTGCTCCCTGCGGTCGGGTGCGCCGGGCTGAACCTGCGACTCCATTCTGTCCCCCCCACAGGAGCAGCTGCCTGCACTTCTCCTTCCTGAGCCTGGACAAACACAGAGAATGGCTGGAGTACTTACTGGAATTCGCTCAGGACGCAGCCCCGATCCCAAACCAGTATGACAAGCACTTCATGGAACGTGACTACACGGGCTACGTGCTGGCCCTGAATGGCCACAAGAAGTACTTCTGCCTCTTCAAGCCCCAGAAGGCGGTGGAAGAGGAGGAAGCCTTGGGGTCTGGCAGGGCCCCTGACTCTTCCCTCCATCCGGGCGATTCTCGAGGGAAATCTTCCTGTGGCCTTGGACCCAGGCCCATCAAAGGAAAACTGAGCAAGCTGTCCTTATGGATGGAGCGCCTGCTGGAAGGTTCCTTACAGAGGTTTTATATCCCGTCGTGGCCCGAACTAGACTGAGAGGGGCTCGAGGGGGACGTAAACTCTTCAGGCTTTTTAACAGGCCCTGCGAACAGGCCTTTTCAGGACTCGACCTATCACCGCAGACAGAGAATAGATTCTAGATCATTCTTCTGGAACAGTGGCTAGAAGAATCCTGCCTTTGTCCTGTTCTAACCTAGGAGTGAAAAACACCTCAAGTCTCAACTCCCCCCAGATCAAAATATTTTCCTTTGGGTCCCCCCCCCCGCCCCCGCCTCATTTGAATGCCGCACGATTTAAGGCAGACTGCTCATCCCCTCTTCCTTAGTCATCCCCTCGTGTGCTCACCTCCCTCCCCTGTGCTGTCCCTGTGCTGTGGGAGAGCCGTGGGGTGGTACCTGGATGGAACCCCGTGAGCCCGGAGTGCTGGTCGGGTTGCTGCCCGCCCCCGGCCCACCCCCGCTGTGCTCCTGCCCCGGCGCATGCTCTCATTGGAACAACCCACAGCAGCTTCTGGGCCCTGCATCCCAAAAGTGGCCTGGCTCCAGGCAGTCTTAACATTTGACCATTTTTCCCATAGTCAGTGGCTAAAATGAGGGGTACCCCCCCCACCCAGTTCAGCAGCCACCGTTTTCAAAGGCTGGGGACGGGTGGGGCCTCTGCGTGGGAGTGTGGTTTTCTTCCCACAACAGAAGAAAGGAGGGCTGGGCAGTGACCGATGTGACCCCTCCATGGCGTCCCATCAGCCGCCACCTCAGCACGAAGGTCGCCAGGGAGGGATCTGCACGGCAGCAAGTACTGTAATGACTTTGAGCCATTCATGTGTACGTTTTCACATGCCTTTCGGCCCCTGTCACTTTTAGGGTATGAATCTTAGGAGCCATAATCTGTGATCTTGTTCTCCGGATGTAGACTTAAGCTGCTCTAAGCCAGTAGATGCTACACTGAAGACACCCTCTTCCCGCCTGCCGGGAGCCGCACCCAAGGAACCTCTTCACTCCGGTGGGGTCCCCCTAGTAAAATACCAGACCTGTCTTTGTATCAAGGAACTTCCGATTTCTTCTCGACAGCTGTGTTTTGAACACCGTTCCCCCAAAAGTGGGGCCCTCTTTTGTGACAGGGGAGCCAAGACTTGTTTTAGACCCCTGTTTGGCAAAAGGCTTCCTCTGGGCTTCTGGCCTCTATTCCCATATCTTGGTCGCTTTCACTCCTAACTCACAACTGCTCCACCAGTGACAGAGTCCGGCCTGCCATCAGCACCCAGCTTGCCGAGCTCCAGTGCGCAGTGGGCCACAGCAGCCAGTGACAGAGCTGGCCTTTTCTTCTTTTTCTTTCTTTCTTTTTTTTTTTTTTTTTTTTTTAAGGGCAAAAGCACCGGTGGAGTTGAAACAACTTCAAAGAGCGGTCAGTTCACACATCAAAGTAAGTTTGCTCTTTTATAAAATGAAGGGGCAGAATCACTGATGGGACATTTACTGAGTTAGTATTTCTTTAATCACAACTGCTTGAAACGAAGCAATTTGGATCTCGAATAATTTAAATCTCGAGCTATAGAGACAAGTGATTAATTATTTAAGCCCGGGAATTCCTGTAGTTTCCGTGGAGTCTATAACTTTATTTTAAAAGAAAGAAAGAAAGAAAAAGAAATCACTGCCAGGCTGCTTTTTTTTCCACATGATCCTCTAAAAATTGGTTGCTTACTCAGGTGGCTGGCTGTCCTGGCGCCTGGCCCAGGCGGGCGTGATTAAGGGACTCACAGGGTTCCCTGAGGCACCATCTTCCAAGTGATTTTCTAGATCTTCTATGGCCAAGTTGCTGCTGCGCTAAGTGTTTTGGTTCAGTGGTGGGTTTTTATTTTTAACTTCTGGTACTGATGGGACCCATGACCTTGATTTCTGAAAACAAAATCTCCCCCGCTCTGTTCATTTTAAAAACGCTTCTCATTAAAATCAAAAGCACCTTCCGACAGGCACCCACACCCTCAATTTGCACCAGGAAAGGAGAGTGAGGATAGGATTAAACATTCCCGGCAAATGTTTTCAGTCCCAAACTTCTTACATGGGTCTGTTTGGGGCTGAAAGAAATGTCCCCCAAGAGGACACTAGGGAGGTTTTACTTAAACTGAACTTCGCCCACGACCACCCAAGCCTTTCCTCTTGACCGTTTCCCTGAATTTATTTGCTTTTGTGTCAAATGTATGAGCCACTGTCACGCTCAGCCAATGCCACCTCTTGTGCGTGATCACACAGGCCTAATTTCGGTTTTAGGTGCACTTCCCGGCCTTTAAGTATGTTGAGACTGTCAATGTTGTTTTATTTTTAGAAGTAGGGTTTCCTGGTTGATAGAGACTATGCATCATGTTTAGCAGATGGGGATGAAAACGGGCCCAAAACAAGTCTTTGTAGAACACACGCCCACTTAAAAGATTTTTTTCATCATCCAGGTGCTGGTGGCATAATTGGTCTAAGAGATTGTCAGCTCTGACTCAGCCACATTTCGATGAGTAAGATGGCCATGACCTCCATTAGGCACCAGGGTCTGTCTCCGCCATCACTTGCCCACCATGAAAATCCGGCTGTACTTTTCAAATTAATGGGTTGATTTCCTCCTCGTTTGGCACATATGTTTTCTGGATTTAAAAAGAAATGAAATCTAAATGCATTTTAAGTGTTTGCTTTGTCTGGGAAAAGAGACTGGAAGCAAACACTCGAATTTTTTCCCAAGTAAAATTCTGTAGAAGCTGACGCAGGATGTCTTTAACAGACAATATAATCACTTGCGTCCCAATGCCTGACCTTGTCCCTTGGAAACAAATGCCGGGTGGCAGCTGTGAGTCTGTCCACTCGGTTTGTCGCGGCGGAGGATGACACCTTAGAGGGCAGTCTGAAAAGAAGGTGAATATTTTGCACTTTTGATACTCTTAGGAACAAATAACTTATTTGGCAAATGGTGTCTTTTTTTATGTTGTTTTCTGTTTTGTATTGTGCACAGGCACTGAAGCTGATGTTATTTTTGTTCTAAAACTATTACAGACTGGAGACAGAAATAAACTATTTTAATGTGTGACGATTACGCGTCGCCCTTGCCTCGGGGGAGGACGACTTGATCGCGGACCCGCACGCAGCAAAATTGTGTAACGGGGCACAGGCCGGAGTGTCCGGTGCAGATTCCAGGAGTTGCTGCTGACCTCGAGGGCGGGGAGGAGCAGGCAGGGCAGACCGAGTCCGGGACTGGGTTATGGAAGTGTCCCCACGGGCACTTCTGAGGCCACCTAGTGTCTGGTTGAAAACACATTCCGTGCACCCTCCTGGGCTTTGGGGCGGGCAGTTTCTTGATCAGGGCCTACATGGTACTTTCAAACTATTCGTTTCCATTCACAGATGGCCTGAAACCCCGAGTTCCTCAGGAGAAGCTACAGCGTCAAGGAAGAGACACTAGAGATAGGAGCGGTCTGTATGGCATTCTGTCCTACGCTTGTTTATTATTTCATTTCTCCAGTTTTTAGATAAACTAAATGCTCCGTCCCTTTTCCCCTCTCTCCTCCACCATCTTTCGTCAGAACAACACACATGCTTCTCTTTTTTTTTTTAGTTAAATCAGACTCCTTAGAAGTATTAGCTGTCGGGTCTGACTTCTGAATGCCCTGATTTTGCAGTCCCCAGTGACACTCTTTAGCGGGAAGTCTGAGCACTCAGACCGCTGGCACGTAAACTCCTAAGAATTTGTCATCGACACAAGCTGCTGTTTATCCGGAAGAGCACAGGCTTAGACGACCATGACCTTGGGGAGGGCACACAGCATCTCAAACAGCAGGTTAGCCGCCAGCAGGGCCGTGTTTCCTACCAAGTGAAAACAATGAAGGTGAACACGGTGCCCGCCACCACCCAGGCCGAGCCTCGCGGGCCCCCGCCGGCTTCCCTCCCTCCGCGCGGGGCTGCCCAGCCACCCTGTGGGCACGCCTCCCCCCCGTGCTCTGCTCCAGCAGGCCTCCTTCAGAAATAGTATTCTGAAATGCAGAAGGTTCTTTGTTTACGAACAGATTCCACCCCCCCACCCCTGCAAGGAAAGCCTATGATAACCGTATATAATGTATTTATCACCTACCCTGCGAAGCTAACAGGCCTCAGTCTGTAAATTCTCCGAATTGAAATTATTGAGACGGCATCTGCTTTGAATCTCTCTCCTAAACCAGCTAACCGCCCACTTTTTTAATACTAACAAATATTACTTAGGCTTCTCCTCGGGGAAACAGCAAAGGAGGAGGGGACTGTGCTACCCTATCACAATTACCCGATTCCTATTCTTGCCGGCTGGATTCCCCTTGGCTACCGGAAGGCCGGGCCGCTAGGAGCCACCTCCCAGGGGTGTGTGTTAGAGACCATTAGCTCCTGTTTGTAAGGTGTGCGGGAACAGGTTCATCTTCTTCACTGCAAAACACACTCAGCTGGTTCCCAACTGATACAAAAGGATGCATCCATCTTCGGCTTATTACGTGGGTTAATAGAATTCAAACAAGCAGCTGCTTACAGGTCACGGTACTCTTGCTTACTCACCAGACGGATCATAAGGCGGCGAAACTTCCACGAGATCGCAGCCCACCACGTTCAGGCCTCGACAACCACGGATGATCTCCAGCGCCTGTTCAAGACGGAGCCCGAGCTATCCATGGCAGTAACCATGGACGACGAAGAGCAACTCCAGAGATCTCAGTGGATCTCTCCCAAGGCATGCCCACCCTCTGACTCGGAACTGTTGCTTTCCCTCCATAAACACTGATCGACTGCCAGGCACACAGCTCGGCCATCACATAGACACAAATGACTGACACGCAGCCACCGCTCCCGAGGAGTCCATCGTGTGATGATGGACACAAGCAAACCAATCATTTCAATCCCGTGCATTAAAAGCTTCAAGAAAAGCAAGCGTAGGGGTGCCTGGCTGGCTCGGTCAGTAGAGCGTGCAACTCTTGATCTCAGGGTTGTGAGTTTAAGCCCCATGCTGGGTGCAGAGATTATTTAAAAAACAAAATAACAAAAAACAAGCGTAGCAAAGTATGATACAAAACAGCCCAAAGAGCTGGGGGAAGGCCTCCCCAAGGTGGGAACACTTGGCTCAAGGAATTGACCAGATAAGTAGGGATAGGGCTGCTGGGCAGACAGATACATGCAGAGACCCCAAGATGGACGGATATACCAGTAGTTGGATGCGGCCAGAAGACTAGATAAGTGAGGGGGACAGTAGCAAGGAGTACGGTCATCTAAAAGAGTTTCCCTGGTGCTGATGAAAAGCCCAGAAGAGTGATACACTGAGGAATGAGGATCGTGTTTAAAAATTTTTTTAATGATTTATTTATTTCTGAGAGAGAGACAGTGTGAGCAGGGGAAGGTCAGAGAGAGAGGGAGACACAGAATCTGAAGCAGGCTCCAGGCTCTGAGCTAGCTGTCACACAGAGCCCGACGTGGGGCTCGAACCTACGAACCGTGAGATCATGACCTCAACCAAAGTCAGACACTTAACCGACTGAGCCACACAGGCGCCCCTGAGGATCGTGTTTTAGAAATTTCTCCGAGGGGAACAGATGGAGAATGGCTTTGAAGAGGTAGCTGCTAACATGCCCCTTTCTTAGAGGAGATAAGGTGATTGATCAGGTGTAAGTCGCCTCAACTTATTTACTCAAGTGTCTATGAGTTCCTACCCTTTAAGTCAGTCACTATTCTAGACTGAGGGGTAGGGTGGTAAACAAAATAAAAGCCCTACCCTCCTGCAGCTTACCTTCCAGTTATAACCACACTCCACTTCTGCCTCCTGCATTTATTTACACTCAGCACACCTTAAGAGCGCTTTATTTCAGGGTCGCCTGGGTGCCTCAGTCGGTTGAATGTCCAACTCTTGATTTTGGCTCAGGTCATGATCTCACAGTCATGAGATCAAGGCCCATGTCAGGGTCCGCACGGGGCACGGAACCTGCTTGAGATTCTCTCTCCCTCTTCCTCTGCCCCTCCCCTGTTCATGCACGTACTCACTCTCTCTTTCTCTCTCTTTCAAAACAAAAGAGAGAGCTTTATTTGAGTGTTTCTAAAACTCTTGAACTACCTAGGCAGTTAGTCCCACTGTGAGCACTTTTTAAATTTAACCCCAAAAAGATAAGTTGCAAACTGTCCCCATGAACCGACTACAGGTGGATCAGAGGCACAAAGCTCAAACAACAGTTATATCCCAGAGAAGAAATGAGGGCCCTTGTCAAAATCAGTCCACTCCTCGCGCAAGAAGAATGTTCACCCTGCGATCAGCCCTGAGCACAGTAAAGGCCTAAGTGCTCTTACCCTGATCCTGAAGGCTCACTATAAGTCCCAGGAAAGTGGCAGCGCTAAGAATCTTCACCACCGCCCCCCCCCCCCAGGAGTTATCACTAGTGGAACTTCCTTACCTGACTCGGGGTGAGACCAGCAATTTCGGGTGTTCCTGTCCCCGGGGCATAGGCAGGATCCAAGCCGTCAATGTCAAAGCTGATGTACATGGGTTTGCCTCCCATCTGCTGCCTCACTTCCCCCATCAGAGGGACCAGAGACTTCATCCAGCAGTCCTCAGCCAAGACCACCCGGAAGCCCTGAGGAGGCAGGAATTAAACATCAGGAGGTCGAGGCCCCTGCGTGGCAGCATTTACTGGGCCTTTCTCCTGTGCCAACCCCATGCTAAGTGCCTGTGTACGCATCCCGTTTGACCCCCGATCTTCACCAGGATGGAACTATCATCCCCGTTTTACTGGTGAGGAAGGAAGGAGAGCTCGTGAAGAAGCAGGCAGTCAGGCAAAGCTGCCCCACGGGGACGGGATCCGAGAGGTGCTGGGCTGGGATGACAGCCAGAAACTCGGGTCCACTCGTGTTAGTGCCTCCCCAACGGCTCTGTCCAGAAGACTGGCCTCGGTGCACCCTAAAAGTGGGCGACTTCGGTCTTTCCTGTTGGGAGCTTGTCATATGTGTTCACCTAGGAGCCTCTCTGCCCGCTGGGGAAGAGGACAAGGACCGGAATGGTGGCTGCTCGCCTTGAGCTTGGGCCTCTCCAGCTCCTTTCCAAGCCAGCGACACCCCAGGGATCAGTGTGTTTCTGCCTGTCTCCCCCGCCCAGCGATGAGAGGCCTCCTTTGCCTGACCCTCTTGATGGAAAATCCGGCCTTCTGTGCCGTTTTTTTAATTTGGTTACTAAAGCCCCTGGTGAATCTACAGCTGTCACTGAGTGGGCACCGGACAGAAAGGCGCTCTGCAGGCTGGGGACAGAGGAAGGGGCGTTTGGTGTGTCACCTGGCTCCGGCTGTATCTGTAGGGATCCAGGGTCATGGCAGAGCCCCGGATGCCGATCTGCACCACACGCTTGCAGTCCAGAAGTCCCTCGTCCACGCACCGGCGGAAGGGCGTTCCGTGATAGACCTTCTCTCCCAGAGCCTTGTCGGTCGTGTCTGTGTGAGCATCCACATGCAGCAGCCCCATGGGGCCGTGCCTGACGACAACAGGCAGCTCAGAGGCCAGGCCTCCTCCTGGGGCCTGAGCACAGCCACCCTCCAGGCTCCCCGGACTTCCAAACTCCACAGGTCACAGCCACAGAGTGGAGACCCGCCGTCAGTGACCGGCCTGGTTTCTGTTTGCAAATCATGTAGCATCTCAGAACATTAAATTCCGAGAAGTCAGGCAGAGAACAGGCAGGTGCTTCAGCCTCCCCACGCACTACCTGTCACCATGAATTTTCTTCACCGGATTGGAAGAAGCCCAGGAAGATAAGGAAGGAAGGGTGGAGGCGCAGGTGAGCTCCGCTGAACCAATCAGAGCCCACCCTTTCTACAACAGCAGCAGCACCAAGAAGCAGCTTCAAATCCAGCGCTCTCACAATCTCCATCCACCCTGCCAGCCGCCCAAAAGAAACATATCATCTAAATCAATGCCAGGCATGGGGCGCCTGGGTGGCTCAGTCGATTAAGCATCCGACTTCGGCTCAGGTCATGATCTCACGGTTCATGGGTTCCAGCCCCACGTCGGTCTCTGTGCTGACAGCTCAGAGCCTGGAGCCTGTTTCGGATTCTGTGTCTCCCTCTCCCTCTGTCCCTCCCCTGCTCACGCTGCCTCTCTCTCAGAAATAAATAAAAAAAACATTCTTTAAAAATTTAGATAGATAGATAGATAGATAGATAAATGCCAGGAAAGCCCAGCTTCCAGAAAAGACCATCCCACCCACCACCCACCAGAATGCCACCCTCATGTCTTCCCCTCGTATGAATTCCGGAGCCACTACCACCTTGGCACTCCTGCCTCTTTGCAAACTAATTAACTAAAGTTAGTTCATCCCTGGCAAAATATCCGTTTTCTCTTTCTCGGGGGAAGGGGTGCCCTCAGGAAGAAAGAGGGCCTCTCCCTAGCAAGCAACATCATCGTGTATTTGGCCGTTGAAGCAAAAACAGAACCTGAAGTGAACTGGGGTTGTATATTTCACAAGGGGCTCATCTTCCCAAAACAGAGGCATATGAGCAGATCCGGGGCCAGCAAGGGCGGCCAGAAGTGCTCATAATAAATCGTCTTGGCTCCCAGCTGGTGACTGACAAGAGACACCTGGAGCTCGCTCGGCCTTAATTTTGATCCACAGAAGCAACTCAGACGGGAATTTCCTGTCACCGCAAATAACCAGAGCCAGCAGAGGTCACCTGATGCCCTGGAGCCGCACACAACTCATTCCATAGCCCCTGAATTTTGAAACCTCGTGTGCAACCAGACTGTTGGGACTTACTTTTTGGCCATCGCTTGCAATATAGGGTATGTGATTGTGTGATCTCCACCTGCAAAGAGGAAAAAGAAAATATCTGGAATATGAATAAGATGGGGGTTGGGGGGACCATGGATTTTGTAGGACAATCTTCAAATTGTCCAACTGTGCCACCCTTTTTGATTAGACTGAAGAACTATAACATACTCAGCTAAAGTAAAATCTTGTCCAGTGGTGGGGAAATGGCCACTGGATATTTTTCATTTAAAAGAGAAAATGGGGACACCTGGGTGGCTCAGTCTGTTAAGTGTCCTATTTCGGCTCAGGTCATGATCTCACAGTTCATGGGACTGAGCTCCATGTCGAGCTCTCTGCTGACAGTGTGGAAACTGCTTGGGATTCTCTCTCTCCCTCTCTCTCTATCTGCCCTGTTTGCTCTCTCTCAAAATAAATAAATAAAATTTTTTAAAAAGAGGAAACAAAGCTTGCAGGTAAAATGTCTGGAACAGCTCTGTCCAGTAGCACTTTCTGCAGTGATGGGCATATTCTCTTGCTGCACTGGCCAGTGTGGTGGCCACTAGCCATATGGGCCTCCTGGAATGCAGCTCATGCCACGGAGGAACTGAAATTTTTTAATTTTATTTTAATTAAATTGTATTTTTATAAGTGTATTTATGTTGAGAGAAAGAGACATAACGAGCAGGGAAGGGGCAGAGAGAGAAACAAAGAGAGAGAATCCCAAGCAGGCTCCTTACTGTCAGCACAGAGCCCCATGCAGGGCTCAAACTCACAAACTGTGACATCATGCCCTGAACCGAAATTCAGAGTCGGTCGCTCCACCAACTGAGCCACCCAGGCACCCCTAATTAATTTTCATTTTTTTCAATGTTTATTTTATTTTTGAAAGACTGAGAGACTGAGCACAAGCAGGGGAGGGGCAGAGAGAGAGGAAGACACAGAATCCAAAGCAGGGTCCAGGCTCTGAGCTGTCAGCACAGAGCCCGACGTGGGACTTGAACTCATGAACCGTGAGATCATGACCTGAGCTCAAGTCGGATGCTTACCTGACTGAGCCACCCAGGTGCCCCTAATTTTAATAACCATATGTAACTAATGGCTACTGCACTGGCCAGCTCAGGTCTGGAGACGTATTACTATGGATTACTATTAATAACAACAATAGCAACATTTATGGAAGCTTAAAATATGCCAGTGATGATGCAGGGCACTTTATATACACTTTCATTATATGCTCACATGATACAATGAGGCAGGTGCCCTTACTCCCATCTTACAGGTGAGGAGATGAAGCATGACTAGCCAGGAGGCAAAGCTGAGATTTCACACCGTGTTCTCCAGAAGCACCCCCACACCACGCACGATGTTCTGCAGGCTAGGCCCACTCATTTGGCAAAAATACACTTGGATATTTAGAAAAAGGTCTGTGTCGTTTTAACTCTGCAAACTGGGAGAGAGTGAGATGGAAGAGGGGGAGGGGGCTGGGGGGAGAAGGGGAAAACTGCTCCACTGATCAGCAGAAACCCTGATTTGGAGGAAAATGCCCCTTTGCTGCTCTCTCTCAAACAAAGTCATAGAAAAGCATGTTCTTGAAATAGTTAAGAATTCAGAACTGAGCCCCTGTTGTGAGCTGCTCCCCAAGCCTGGAATCAAGGGGTGAGGTGACAAAGGTGAGCTGGGTAGAGGCACTTTCTAGGATGCAAAATTTAAGGCACATCCAAAAAACAAAACAAAACAAAACTCAGTAGTTAAGATAAATACTATTTAAAAAAATTTTTCTAATGTTTTATTTATTTCTAGGAGAGAGAGAGAGAGACAGCGTGAGCAGAGGAGGGTCAGAGAGAGAGGGAGTCACAGACTCTGAAACAGGTTCCAGTCTCTGAGCTGGCAGTCAGCACAGAGCCCGACGCGGGGCTTGAACCCATGAACCGCGAGATCATGACCTAAGCGAAAGTCGGACGCTTAACCGACTAAGCCACCCAGGCACCCCTAGATAAATACTATTTTAATGTAATACTTTTAAAATTCAAAATCAATGTCCCCTCAAATCCATGATAAATTTTAAAGAAAGATAGGATCAGAAACAGTGCTATTCTGAGCCCTCTCAGAGCCTCAGGCAAAAGGGAAAAGCCAATCATATTTATTGTTGACTTTTTTGACACCTCTCCCCACCCTTAAATTTTGCACCAAAGTGAATGCCTTGCCTCTGTGCTGACAGCTCAGAGCCTGGAGCCTGCTTCGGATTCTGTGTCTCCCTCTCCCTCTGCCCCTCCCCTGCTCAGGCTCTATCTGTCTGTCTCTCAAAAATAAATAAACATTAAAGTGAATGCCTCGCTTCCCTCACCCTAGTCCATTCTTGTCAATGATACCAATCCAAAACTGTAAATATCCTCTCCCCAGGGGGTAAAAAAAATTAATTAAAGGGGCGCCTGGGTGAGTTAGTCAGTTGAGCGTTGAACTGTTGATCGCAATTCAGGTCATGATTCACGGTGGTGGGATCCAGCCCAGCATTGGGCTCTGCACTGAGTATGGAGCCTGCTTGGGATTCTCTCTCCCTCTCTCTCTCTCCACCCCTCCCCCACTCTAAATAAATAAATAGGGGCACCTGGGTGGCTCCGTCGGTTGAGTGTCTGACTTCAGCTCAGGTCATGATCTCACGGATTGTGGGTTTGAGCCCTGCATCGGGCTCTGTGCTGACAGCTCAGACCCTGGAGCCTGTTTTGGATTCTGTGCCTCCCTCTCTCTCTATGCTCTTCCCCTGTTCAAACCCTGTCTCTCTCTCAAGCATAAGTAAAGATTAAAAAAAAATTTTTAAGTAAAAGAAAGAATAAACAAACACAAAAAAATGGATTGAACACATTCTCTTTCCTACTGTCTCCATATTCAGACCAGCTTTCCCATGATAAATAAACCCTCTGTGCAGAGAACTGCCCTTGCCCTTGTAGATGTTATTACCCAAGGTTAGAGGAATACAGCCAGCTGCTACGATTTTCTCATAGGCCTCTCGAATTAGACGGCAGCTGTCCTGAAGGTTGTAAAGATTGACATTCACATCGCCTAGGTCTGCAACCATGAGGGACTGGAAGGGGAGGGCCCCCGTGCTAGGGTTGGCTGCTCGAAGCATCACTGATTCTTCCCTGATCCGCCGGGGTCCAAATCTGGAGGAGGAAGAATCATATGCTGTGAACCGTCCCTCCGAGGTTAGAGGCCCTGCTGTGGCCGGGGTTTCTCAGCCTCTGCACCTGCTGGCATTGGGCTGGATAAATCTCTGATGTGGGAGGCCATCCGGTACATTGTTGGATAGCCTCCCTGGTCTGTAACCCACTACATGCCAGGAGCCAATTAATTGTGAGAACCAAAAAGGCCTCCGAGGACACCACCAAATGTCCTCTGGCGTCAAAATCACCCCTGATTGAGAACCACTAAAAACCCAGGCTCTATGCGGACGAGATTAAAGGCAGAGCGTTAGAAACCCACCCATCACCAATTTACTAAATGGCATTAGATAACTTCCTCATCTCCGAGATCCTCAGTTTCCTAATCTGTAAAATAATATTTGCCTTACTGTGTTATAAGAATTGAGGTCATCTATGCAAAGTGCCTTGCATTTAGTGGACATTTAATAAATGATGGCGGGTAAACTTCAGATTATCAGTATATACAGCAGTTACATCTGTAAAGTGGCTGAGCTGAATCAGACACGGGGGATGCTCACTAATTAGGAAAACAGATTTTACTTTCTCTGCCACCATCTTAGGAAAATATGCCTTGGGGGCACCTGGCGGGCCCAGTCCTTAGAGCTTACCACCCTTACCTTGGGATTGTAAATTCCAGCCCCACGTTGAGGGTAGAGGTTACTTTAAAACAATTTTTTTAATCTTAAAAAAAGAAAAAAAGGCCTTGTATTTGAGCAATTCTTGATCGGGTGACATCTAGATCAGGTGCCATCAGCATTGTGGGATGAGGGAGGAGGGAACCCAGGGTCTCTTAAACTATGAGGGGCCTTCTTCCAAACCCACCCTGGGCGAGGGGCGGCGCCGTCGTATGTCTTTCGCGACCTGGGGCCATCGGGCGGTCCGGCCGGCCGCGTGTCCCCCAGTCCTGCGGGCCTTACCTCGCCCCGGGCCGGTTGGAGGTCCCAATGTCCAGCGGCACCCCGACAAAGGCGGCGTCCAGCCCCTCGGGGGAGGCCTGCACGGGCAGCCGCATCATGGAGCAGACGCCCACCGGCCGGGCCACGACGTCGGAGCTGGGGGGCTGGTTCCGGGGAGCATCAGAGGCCTGGCGGCTGGCGCTGCGGCAGAGGTGGCGGGGCCCCGCGGCAGGATGCGGGCCCCCGCCGGCCCCCAGTCCCTGGGCGCAGCTGGACGCCAGCCGCCGCAGCATGTCGCGCCCCCCGCCGGGTCCCAGCAGCCGCCGACTGTGCTCAAAGGGCCGGCGGCCTGGGGATCGAGAGCGAGGGGCCGAACTCTCCCCGCCCCCTCTTCGGACTTCGGCCTCTGGCTCCCTCGGTAAATAGAACCGGGCCCGGGGATCCCCCGCCCCCATCCCGCGGCCACCACGCTGTCCCTTGGTGTCTGCGCCCCGCAGAAACAGGCCCTTGGCGCCTGCTTCTCCCTTTCAGAGTAATAGTTTTAAAAACAGATTTAAAGAAGGGGAAAAAGCTTTCTCTAAGGAAGAGAAATTGGAAATGCATTTTTTAAATTAATATATTATGAAATGTCTGGGGTAAGATTCTCGGGAAGTAGAGTGTTTTTTGGTTTGGTTTTTTTTTTTTTTTTAAGTTCACTTATTTTGAGAGAAAGAGAGAGAGCATGGGCAGGGGAGGGGGGCAGAGAGCAAGAGAGAGAGGGAGAGACCGAATCGTAAGCAGGTACAGAGAGCCCCAGGCTGGGCTTGAACACCTGACCCACGATATCATGGCCTGAGAGATCATCAAGAGGCCTGTGTAACTGAGCAGCCACCCAGGCACCCCAGGAGGTAGAGTCTTTCTAAATAACCTTTTTTTTTTAAAGGACTTAGAGACCAGCGTGGTGAAGGTCACGTTGCCAGGGGGCCCCTTAATCTGCAGTCCTTCTCATTTCTACGGGGGGGGGGGGGGGGTGGGGGGGAGAGACACCAGGGAAAGAAAATGTGACTTGTAATGAAGTTATGTGAGGCATATGGTGGTGGTATATACATTTTTAATCTCTAGAAGTTGAAATTGAATGCAAAAGGCCCGCTTTAACTCATAACCTTCACATGTACGTCACACCTTAAACCCACAGGGCCCGCCTCCACCCCGCAGGATAGGGGCAAAGTTTCGTAATGGTCAATCACGGGTGTTCAGTGTCGCAAGAGGCTGCAGAGCAGGTCCCTGCCGTTTTCCAGGAAAAAAAAAAAAAAGGCAAGGATCCCTATCACCACCCCTAAGGGCAGATTCCACCACCATCTCATCCATAGTGTTCGTCCCGGCTCTCGATTTCTAACCCCCTGGCTTAGCCTTTCTTCTTTCTCACAAATATCTGAGTGCCTCTCGTGTGCCAGGCGCTATGTGACAATAACTCCAGCCTCTCCCCATCTTTCGATACTGCTGAGCACCCCCTTCCTTTAATCCTCCCACCAGGCGTGGCCCTGCTCTCCTGAGGCTCCTTCCCTGATGACAATCTCTTGCAAAATCAAGGTGACAGTTTTCACCTACGTAGGCAGGCGATTCGCAGCCCCGATTCCAGCCCTGGGCTCCAGCTACCCGTTTTCTAACTCCCCGCCTGGATGTTCTGAGAACACCTCGGGTGGCTCAGGACTTTCTACCTCCTTCTGGGTCCTGCTCTCTGCCCCCTGCTGTGAGTTTCCTGCTTGCAAGCCTCCCCGCCCCCACCCACCAGCTCCCTCTGCTGTTACTGGGGTGCCAGCCTTCCCACCTCTAGCTTTCCACTTGGTGTCTCCACTCTCCCACCAGATAACGCTTCATGAAGCCAATCCACTTTTTTTTTTTAATGTTTATTTATTTGTGAGAGAGAGAGAGAGAGAGACTGAGCATGAGCAGGGGAGGGGCAGAGAGAGAGGGAGACACAGAACCCGAAGCAGGCTCCAGGCTCTGAGCTGTCAGCACAGAACCCGACGCGGGGCTTGAGCTCACAAACTGTAAGACCATGACCTGAGCTGAAGTTGGTCACTTAACCGACTGAGCCCCCCAGGTGCCTCACAGTCCACTTTTCTAATTCTGTTTCCCTTCATGCATCTTCCCGTCCTTGGCCCTCAGACCATTGTCCTCCTTACACAGCCCTCAGTTTCTTGCATCCGGTCCTTTGCTCATGCCATCTCCTAGCCTGGAATGTTCTCTCACATGACCCTCATCTCCACAGGCTCAGGGTTCTGCTGAAGCCCATGCTCAAACCACTATCTCTGGAACTCTTAAAATTCTCCATTTTCAAGTACAGGAACTGAGATCAGGAAAAACGTGAAATCCTTGCTCCACCATCCATGTACCTCAATGACTTATGGCAGGAGGGAGACCTCCTTCGTGTTTCCTGTGGGTTTGGGGCAACAGCTCAGAGTAACTCTCCCTCCAGCACAATGTCGCTTTGCAGTTTCACGCTTGATCATGCAAATGTGTGTCACCTCATTCAAGTTCATAGGACGTTTATGTTAGCATCAAAACACTGGATATTATTTACCAGCTAAATGCCCCACCCCCAACTTTTAAGTAGAGCCATCACTCCAGGAGCTGGCGTTGTTTAAACTGGCGCACCCACGTGTCCATCCCTGAGGCACCCGAGCAGGGAGACATGGACTCCGCACGTCAACCTGAGCGAGTCCTCCATTTGGACCTATTTCCTACTCTGTCAAAGGGACAACCCTTTCTGATTGTTCTGATGAGGATTGTGAATCCAAATGTTGGTAAATACTAGGTAGCGTCGTCGTTGTACGTTTTATTTCCTCCACTGCAGATTTCCGCTGGTCATAGCACACTGGTGTGTGGCAGTTGGGTCACGGGCAGGCTGTCACATAAAGATCCCATGGCACTTGGGGCCGCCAGAGAGGCCGGTCACCTCGGGGGGACGTGCAGCCCATCAGAGCCCCTCAGGGGATGAGGCAAGCGGAACAGTGTGACATCCTGCTCTGTGATCCCCACAAGGAGGGAGCATTTGCTGCCTGGACACGGCTGGACACATTTACCACCTGGACACGGACCTCAGAGGCCAGCTGGAGCTGTGCACATCATGGACAAGGGCCAGGGCCCTGCTACAGGAGGTAGGCTCTAGGGGCCCAAGGAGGATGAGTCGCAGACCCGAGGTGCAGCGGGTCAAGGGAGGAGGGGCAAGGAGACTGGATGGGAGATCTGGGGACAGGGGACCCAAATCCGTCTTCACTCAGTATCATATCAGATTGCTCTGTCCTTTTGCAGCTGGTGTCCAAACAGGGTCCAAGCCGACTTCAGAGTGACCGCTTTGATAATGCTTATGGCAGGATGGTATTAAAAATATTTAACATCTGAGATGGCACAGACACGGACCAATCAGAACGGGCTCTAGCTGGCTATAAGTACTTGCCAGCACATTCCAAATGGATATCACCCCTGAAGGAACGGGCTTTAAATCAGAGCTCTGTCATTACTTGGAAATGCTTGACATGAAAGAGTTTGATTGGATTAAAAATCCATGAATGCTACGCCAAGAAATTTCAGCTATACGCTTGCTAGTGAAAGAAAAATAATAGGCTTCTGTAAATTTTAACTTCTGTACATTTTTAATGTTAAAATTTCTTTTTAAATTTTTATTACTTGAGTTTCCGAGTGTTCGGGGCTATCAAGAACTTGAAGAGATCCTTCCTGAAAAGACCTGGTGGTTATTACCTATAGCCCATTCCAACATAAAACCTGACCATAAAAGGTTACATTCATGGAGGAAAGCTAAAATTTTTGAAAAGATCTTATTTGGGGGGCACCTGGGTGGCTTAGTCGGTTAAGCGTCCGACTTTCGCTTAGGTCATGATCTTGCGGTTCATGGGTTCGAGCCCCGCGTCGGGCTCTGTGCTGACTGCCAGCCCGGAGCCTGGAGCCTGTTTCAGTCTGTGACTCCCTCTCTCTCTGACCCTCCCCTGCTCATGCTGTCTCTCTCTCACGCCTAGAAATAAATAAAACATTAAAAAATTAAAAAAAAAGATCTTATTTGGAAATTTTATAGAAGTTCACTATTTAATGCTGTCTCTAATACTTTCATTTCATTTGTCAAATCATAATTACATAATACTAGAAAATGTAAATTTTTTTTTACCAATACAGATCCCTAAATCTGCTGTCCCCGCCACTGACTCCATGCTCGCCTCAGTTGGACATACAAATTGTATGATTTTTCTATGTGTGTCATGAGAGGAAAAAGATTCCAAAGCACCATTCTGGTAAATTCTAAGTTCCAGTATGTACTTCGTCCTTTTGGGCAGCCTCTAATTGCAGTGCCTTAGAAAACAAAGAAAAGGGGCAGCTGGATGGCTCAGTTGGTTAAGCATCTGACTCTTGATTTCAGCTCAGGTCACGATCTCACAAACTGTGAGCCCTGAGTCGGGCTCTGTGCTGACAACACAGAGCCTTCGCGGGATTCTTTCTCCCTGTCTCTCAAAATGAATAAATAAACTTAAAAAAAAAAAAAGCCAAGTAATAGAATAAATGTTTGGTGGGTGAGTGAGTAAAAAGACTGAACGGATCTTCTGGAAGCTTTGGAGACCAGCTCTAGGATGATTACTATTTCAGCCAAAAAGCTGTGACAGCCAGACTGTGAGGGAAAAAGCTGTGTACGTTTTGGCTGTCTGCGTGGATTCCCTTTGGCCTAAAGAATGATACAAGGGTTCCACAGAAGGAGTCAACACCTTGAACTTGTCTGTGCTTGTAGAGACTCAAGAAATGATCCTGCATCAACTCCCACCTCCCTGAGACGCCTGGGGGGTGGGGGGAGGGACTTTCTGGGATGCTCTACTCACTGTTACACTGTTACACTAACTGTTACACTGTTACAGTCACTGTTACACTGTTACACTCACTGTTACACTGTTACACTTGCTGTTACACTGTTACACTCGCTGTTACACTGTTACACTCACTGTTACACTTCTTTACCCACTGACCCGAAAGAAAACTAGATCGTTTTTAGCATGTTTAGAATACTTTCATCAGTTTGTCAGACTCCCCACTCTTTACCCATAAAGTTACATACTCAGCAATCCTTCAGGAAATACTTTACACATTTGCACAGAGTCACCTCCAATAGCGGCATCAGCATCTCTGAATCTGGAAAATAATACATACTATTTGAACACAAGATTGGTTGGCCGGTCTATTCAGCTTGCCAAGTGAACATATTGAGCCTGATTGATCCAACCACTTTTACCCAGATGCCATGTAAGTGGCCCACTCAGTCTCTCTCTAGTCCAAATGAGGCAGGAGAAAGGGAGGGGAAAGCATGAATTCGTCTATGGAAAGACCCACC